ATGCCCTGCTTGTCTTGATTTTTGCCCTTTAAAGATGATCACCAATACCTATTCTATAAGGATTTCACGCCTTGAAGCGAACTGTCCAACGCACCGTGGAATGATGTGATGGACAACGAACAACTCCCCCAGCCCCTTGAACCCATGACAAAAAACACCAGCTTTAAGCCCATGCTCCCTAACGCTTCTAAAGCCCAGCTATCGTCTCTTGCCGAGATGGTGACAGCTGACGATATCATGAGCTTGTCCGGTACATGAATCTCTCCCCCTCCCCAACCATGCCCCCGTTGACAACCTCCCCGTCATGTATACTTCCCTCTCCCATACCCTCTCTTCCACTAGCTCCTTCGGCAGCCATCATCCTCAACCTAGCCGCCTTGTCCGCCGCCTTCTTAAGACGGTTCTTCTCCCGACACGCTTTACATGATCTCCTGGGCTTTGTAACTCTCGATCCCGATCCCAACCCTGTCTCACTTGCCGTATTTTCACCAGCCTGCGGGTTAGTAGTAACCGGCGCAGAATCAACAACATCCCGTTCCAATGGTTCCGCACAGGTGATACACAGCCCCATCGAAGCGCGATGATCCCTCGTGCCGCGGTAATCATACGCACAATGCTGGCATTGTTTCTTGCCGGGACGGACATAGCGGCATCGACATCTTGAACAGACGTTGGGAGGTAAGGGGTCACGGCGGGAAATCCATTGGATTACTGGCTCGGTGTACGGTTCATTTGAGGAGGCGGCGGTTCCAGTTTCGGTGCCGGTGGTATTGCTGGTGGTGGGAGGCCTGGTGCTTGACTTGGGGCGTCGGGTTTGTTTGCGTTTTGTCCTGGCACTGCTGGGGTGACCTTTCTCTGTGGATGCGGCCATGGCAGCGGGGTTGGTATTTCCTGCTCTCGAAATGGAAGGCACGGCTTGAGTTTGGTTGTCGTTGTAGTTGTAGTTGTTGTTGGTATTGCTACTGCTGAGGGACCCAATTCCTGCCTCGGGTAGGCCATGATAGTCGGAGTTTTCCAAGTAAGCAGTATCGATGGCCAAGGGGCTGAAGCCGAGATCGTAGCCTGCCGCCGTGTCCCAACCAGGGAACTGCTGTTGTCCATCATCGTTCTTGAAGTCGATGTTGGCCATGCAATCGTTGCACATGATTGTGTCTTCAGACCCGGCAATGCCGCAGCCGTCAAGCTCGAGATAAGATGAGAATTCCTGCAGGCCCTTGGGTTGTTGACAATAGTGACACGCCCAGGATTCTGTCGTACGCTGAGGAAATGCAGGGAACATGTTGCTGTCGGTGCTGCTGCTTCCTCCGGCGTGGTAATCGTAGGCTGTGGAATCGCTGGCGTCACTGGCGGCAAATGATACAAAGTCAAAATCCAGCATGTCAATGCTACAGTCGTAGCAGATCTGGCTGTGATTCGAGTATGTGTAGCTCTGGTCATCTGTTTCGTCATTGATCGCGGGAAAGTTGAGCGGGGATTGAAGCTGGTTGCAGTTCCTGCATAGCCAGAGCTGTTGGACGCCACCAAGAATGTTGGTCACAGACGAGGAAGTTGAGATAGACGAGCAGGAAGAAGACATATTCTCGTGATCAATAACCGCTCCATTGCCGCTCGATGGAAATGCCAATGATGAGATTCTGCTGAGGCAAGATGGATGGACAGTCGAGGATTCTGCCTGTTGGTCGTGCGCCGTGGTCCCATTGCAGACTATGCAGGGTCCGCTGGACTGCAAATGGACGTTGTGATTTGGGGAAGTGACGGACTGATCCATGACGATAATATCGGTTCACAGTCGGTATGAATCTGAAGGTGCGAGAAAGAATGTTTGAATGAAGACTGCATTCGACGACACGGCCGTCTTGCAGACTAGTCTCGAACACGACCACACCGACCTGAGCTCGGTGGATAGTTTATATCCCTATTTGAGACCTGGAAATCTAAGTTTGCTCTCGTGCCCTTCACTCCTCTCTTTTTCTTTCATCTCAAGTAAACATCATGCACGATACAAAGAAGGATGCAGATAAACAAGGTAAAACAACACCGCTCGAGATCATAACAAGGTATTTCTTTTGAGAAAACATCTCAAAGCGGGGGAAAGGGCTGTCAATCAGGCATTGTGATGAGATATAAAGGTTCCGTTCCTCTTTGAGATTTCAACATGTCGTTGAGAGTCTTATTGTTACGCCCCGCTACCTCATGTCTGTGAAGTGTGAATTCTATTTGTTATCGAAGCGCTTTCATAATATAAATCTAGAACTGCATTATTTCAGATCTACCGGCGACACAAACTTCTTGCGGCGTTAAAAAGAGTCTTTGGCCTGGCCTTATCCTTTCTTGCTTCTCTTCTAGAAAGGACATTGGCTTGTGTTGGAAAGGCTCGGCAGGTCTTGCCTGCGTCGTTTACCAATTTACAACGCCATACTGATTCCTCGGGCATATCCGCGTCCGCAAAGGCAGAAGAAGTCCAAGGCTCAGGAATCTGCTCAATCGTGAGAATTCCCTTCGCTTTACACTTGGGGAGCAGCGTATAAGCAGCGCGCAGAAGCTGGCTGCTATAACGGGGAAATATCGGTCCCTTACCGGCCCTGGGTAAGACCACTAGATGGGTAAAAGTAACCTGCTCTAGTCCTTCCATCTCGACGAGGTGGGCATCTAGTGCTTCCCACAGCGGTGGTCCGCTCTCATGCTGAAAGTTGGGGTGGTCGTGTCTCCCAGACGCGCTGTTGATGAAGATGCGTTTTGGGTTTGTGACGTGGGTCAGGGTGTAATAGAGATCGGAGAGGAGGGCCTCCTTGTATGGATATTCGCGGAGGTCGAGGCTTAAACTGACGAGGGACTTGGTCTTAGTCAAGTCGAAGCGGCAACCTAGCGCCAGTGGGATCTTGTTAGAATTCAAAGGATCGTGACTCAGACGGCGTTTCTGAGCACAGAAATACTACTCCATACCTTCCTTGTACATCCCAATAGCCAATGACCGCAGAGATGGACCGGCTATCTCAACCAACTGGTCCAACTCGGATACCACTTTGGCATTGAAACATTCCGTGATGAGGGTTTTCAGTCCTTTCACGATGGACAGTTTGAAAATAGGCAGGATCTTGCTCCAGACCACTGGGCTGGCGGTGGAGGATACAAGATGTTTGAGCTTGGGAAGCTTGACAACAACGTTATCCTCAAAGAGGTGCTTATCGTCGGAAGCTGCAGCGACGTCTTTCTCGACTCTGTTCTCTCCATCCTGCTCGAAATCTTCAAGTTTCTCCCCATCCTTGGGTTTTACTTGGGTCCACCCAAGTTGGAGAAACTTCAGTTGCGGATTGTCGAAGATGAAAGATGTAATATCTGAAAACTCAGCAACCTTGAGGTGCAAGATTGCCAACTTCTCGGTCACGAAAATGTCGTTGAGTAAGTGTGTCCTCTTGTCCTGCGGGAGTTGAGTAAGATCAAAATAACCAATGGTGAGACTTCTGATGCGGGTAAAATGTCCCAGGATCTTGGACAATCCCTCAATCCACTCCTTGTGCTGTCCATCAATGACCAGGCGACATAGCCTTCGCGGGATGTGAGAATTGCCGCCCAAAAGAGTATTCAGGTCCTTCGGGATGTTACCGAGTCTATACGGGTACAGGTCTGCCTCCGCTCAGTAAAACTCCATGCTGGGCTGGAGCCAGTTACGGCAGACGAGATTGGTGTTTTGGAGGTCATTGGGGTCGAGATGGCTCAGGCACTGGCGCATCAGCTCGGGAGGCAGGTCGGTGATGGGCATGTTGAGCTTTGAAATGCAGATTAGCAGGGGTTTATATGAAGACTCGTTATATTGGCTGACTACAGGCAAAATGGAGTCCCGATGGAGGCTAGATACAGAGGTGTATGGGGTGGTTTTTTTTGGTGTTGTGATATGTGACTCGACAGTGGCAGTTGACTCACGGTTTTACGCACAGTGAGATACCTGCTATGATAGAAGAACCGAGTTGAGTAGGGTTATCGCTCAGCGGCGAGTTAGGTCTGCGTACTGTTGGGTCTTGGCCCAAATGATGTTGGTTCAGACTGAGGATCGGACTGACGCAGCTCTTCGAGAAATTCTACCCCTCTGTTATGTCCAGTTGAAAAGAACTTCACCGACCATCCGCCCTTGGTCTAGTGGATAGTATTACTAAGGCACTAACGTTACTACGTAATGAGGCAACCAATGACATTGAAGGGATGTCAGATTGTCAGTGAACAATACCTGAAGCCCACGGTACATATTCTAATCACAGCAGGTGCCTAATAAAAATACGCAATTTAACTAGACCAAAGAATTTTCAGTTCGTACCTTGTATCAACGAAACCCAGCTTCCTGAGTTTAAGATATATTTGTCACCTGGAAGTGTCTCCGAATCTCGGGCTCCCCCGTGAAAACACTTGCTCTGGAATGGAATTATGGACTGAGTACGACCTTTACGGGGTCTGGAAAGGCCATGATATGTCTGAGAAGGCATGCTAGTAATTTAGTTGTGGTTGTCTTGAGGCGTAACTGAGATATGACTGTGGCCTGAGTAAAGTCTAAATGGACCCTGTTTACGTTCTAATCAAGACCTTATATATGAATCTTGAGGCAATGAAAGTCATGGAAGTATGGTGTTGCGAATTGGTATGTATGAAGCAGGTAAGAAATGGCGAACCTGCCGAAAGGTCTCACGTGGGTACACATGTATGTCGGATCTGGATGATGGAACGAGAGAATGTTTGCGATGCCCAAAGATACGAGTTACCGTGACTTAAATCCCGGTCCTTGAATGACCATATATATGTATAAAGACAAAAGATAGGTGTACCATCCAGAGGAGGCTCGCAGAGAGGATCAACAAAGTTTCCGCAGATATCTAGTAGCATTTATAGATCGCCGCTCATATTCCGCCTTGAAAGTGGTCTTCATGAACCAAAAAAAGAGGAAGAAAGAAAGGAGACGGATATTTGCGGAGAATTATAGCTTTAAAAAAGAAAAAAAAAACCGAAAAAGAATATGCGCAGCCCGGGATTCGAACCCGGGTCCCTCGCTATAACCCACGTTGGAGGATGGGAAGCGAGAATTCTAACCTCTGAACTAACCGCGCTTTTACGTGCTTGAACTCATTGAAGAAGCAGGTGCAAATTCGTTCTGATAAGGGAGCTTGCGCAGTACGACAGTCACGATCGCTCCCGCTCCCGCTCCCGTAAGGGCAGGTACACTCCCCCCCTGGTTTAATTGTTAGCTTGGTACAACGAGTGGATAACAGCAGGGGCAGTAAGAGCCAGTCAAATTGGTAGGAAAGTTCTAAGTGATCTCAAATTCGAGAGAAGTTTGTACCAGTTTGACCTTATAACCTCTCTTTTTGGCTTTTTTCTATGTGTTTTTCTGTTGTTTTGAGGTGTGAGTGGGGTTGAGGTACAAAAAGTGGAATAAAAGTGGGTTTTAGTACCGAACTGACAATCATTCAAGCATCTCATTGTACGTAGTTACGAGGCGGGTAGATGCATCACCTCTGGGAACGGGAAGTTTAGATAGGTGGAGGCAAACATGACAAATGACCAATACTGCGTGATTGTACAATGGCAGCAGTAAGGCAGGGAGCTGGAGAAAGAAACGGATGGTCATTAACCCTACAGTTTCCTTGTCATTGTAATGCTGGGTTGTCGGAAATGAATGTGGGATCGGACGGCTTCCACGTGGTAAATGTCTTGTGAGCATGATACCCACACGATTCTGTACGGAGCCGATTATCCACCGCCGCAATACCTGCATCAAAGATTACCTTCATGGTCGTCGGGATGAGACCGCCCAAGGCCCAAGACAAGTATGATCATATCCGCCTGATCAATGTCATTCACATTTTTGACCTGCAATGAAGCCATAAAGCTGACAACAGAAAGAGAAGAGGTATCATTGGCACCAAACGAAACGTGGTGATGGTATCTAATAGGTATTAAAAGAATTTTTGGCCGGACAACAAGCAAAACAAAATCCACCAACCCGACAAACAAGCTATCCTCCCGCCCAACACGCATGAAGCTCATTTGGGCATCATCTAAAGCAAGTTCAAGTTAGCAAACATCCTACTAACCCGACATTTTGAAAGCACAAGACATACCCGGCTCATCTACTCATCGCAACTCTCCCCACAAGACCACCTTAGTTCTTGGCCTCCTCAGCAGGGGCAGCAGTAGACCCAACAGGAGGGAGCGTAGGAGCAACGCTCTCATCCTTCTTGACCTCCTCGTCCTTCTTATCCTCAGCAGCAGCAGCAGCCTCCTTCTTGTCCTCCTCCTTCTTTCCCTCCTCAGTCTTGTCCTCCTCAGCAGAAGCCTCCTTGGCAGGCTTCTCCCTCTTGGCAATCTTGATGCAAGAAAGCAGAGTCTTGACCTTGGCAATGACGGCCTTGATCTTCTCGCCGGCAGGGACCTTCTTCTTCTCCTCGCCGGCGGCGGTCTTGCCCTCCTCGTCGATGGTGGGCAGCTTCTCGGCGGATGAGGACTTGGCGACGCCGCCCTCGATCTGCGTGATGGTCTCGCCTGTTTGGACCGGTGTTACGACGGGCTCGACGGCAGGGGCGGCAGCGACGGCCTTTTGCTCGAATTGGGGCTCGGCAGACATTTTGATGAGAGTGTGAATTAAGAATTAAATTGATTAGGTATGGTATATGGTTTGTTTGTTTTCGTTGCAAGGCGTGTTGATGCCGGGTATCTTGCGAGAAAGTAAAGAAGGGGGGAAGACAAAGAAGTGAGCGTCTGAGAAAAAGGGAGTGACTTGGCTGGAGAGCTAGAAAAGGAAAAGAGAAAAGAAGGGAGAAGGAAAACTCGAATCCAATTTTCTGGAGAGCAACCTCCTTTTCTTATTTATTATCAGCCGATTATGTTATCCGCAATGCTCGCCAAGGGCGAACTTGTCCACATTTCTCCAGGGATGTTTAGGGGGAAAGAAATCAAAAACCCCAGATTGTGGATGGCGTGTAAATCTCCCTTGAATCCCTACCAAAAAATCTCAATTCTCAACGCTCTGACGTTACCACGAACTCCGGATTGAGAAAAGTTCAGAAATTCGGGGAGTCCAAGAGAAAAAGAAGGGTTCCATTCCTCATTTCCAAGTGCCAAGAGATATCTCCACAGCCCCTGGTCGCCCTCTAATTTAGCAAATGGTTCGGCATCGGGCCGGACGTGGGCCATTGCTCGAGTCTAGTGGCTCTAGTCCGGCCTATGCCCCACCGGGGTTTATCAATAATAATTATACCCGAGATTGAATCTTGAAATTTTGTTCCTGATGTCTTTGACCATTGAAATTTTGGCGTGGACCATGAATTCGAAAGGACTTCCAAGGACCCACCCTGCTTCTTGACCGAGCCCGTGACAGGGACCGGGCATCTCCCTGAACCCCGGAACAGCGCCGGCGAACACAGGAGCTTCTTCGGGGACAAGGCCAAGGCGGCGGTGGTGAAATTTCCATCGAATCTTGTCCCGGCACAGCTCGGCCCTCTGGTAAATTGATGTCCACATTTCACGATCGATCAGATCTCAAGGGTCTCCGCTCAGGGGAATCCAAACCACGCGAGTGCTCTTTTTCAGCTTCATTGTCATCAAAGTTCCAGAAGGCCTCGTTACCATATCTCCGGCCGCAATCGCCTCGCCAATTGATCAACTCCGAACGCCGAATCGTACTTCATCCCATAACCAGTCTTCTCGCTCGCCACAAGACCCTCAAACGCCCAAGCCCAACCACCTCAGCAACATCAACCCGGCAAAGACAGCCCATCCCACACCAAGGACATCACTCAGTCCCATGACTCTCTCCGTGTCCGAGATGGCCTCGTTATAATCCCCCATGCTAGGCAACGGGATCTTGCTCTTGTTCGACCAGAATCCCTTCATATACCCCGACACGCCCAACTCCCCCGCCGCCAGGGCAGCTGTCCACGCCACCGTGCCGAAGCTCCTCCATGTAAATATGATATGCGACAATGCCGTTAGGAGGGATACTGTTGTCTGTTTTCTCAAGCAATCCTGTGTCAGCTAACAGAGCTTTCTACAGCCTTCAAAGCTTGAACGAGATGTCGAGGATGTTACGACGGGTGAAGGGGAGAAGAAGGTAACAGGGCAAAAAGATACTGACCATCAAGAACCCAGCGCCGACAGTGTAGCGCGTATCCCAGAGACGTTTCTCAGCAACATTGCTCCACTCGGCTGCTTTCTCTGCCTTCTGCTCGTACCGCTGGAGCTTCGGGATCGACTGGGCCGAGTGGTAGAGACAGTAACCGCTTACGTTGGCAATGGCTAGGACGAGTAAGGTTGCTAGGGCTCCCATTCTGTTCTTAGGTCGCTCTTCGGGATTATGTTTGGTTGTATGTGTGCCTTGCTAAGGAAAACCAGGACGAGGTAGGTCGGCGGCGGATTTCTTCGCGGATGAGGTCGTGATTGTTGGATGTCTTGCTCCAAGCGGGGAATAGGTGGTCGACGACGGTGAATTCGATTGCAAAAGTGATGGAAAATAATATAAGAGGCTGAGTTATCCAAGACTTGCGCAAGATAATTGAGACGAGTGAGCTCGATGTCGGTTGCTGCTGATGTTCGTGGCTCCTACCCGCCAAGTCGCTGAAATGCGATATCGTTCATGACGTCATTTGCTTTCCTTGAGAAGTTGACAGTTGACGTCGATCCTGCAGGTCCCTGCAGCTGATCCAGAAGTTAGGTCGTGCTGCAGGCACAACTGACAGCTGCAAGCCCCTGAAAGATACGGGTAACGTACGTGTATATACCTTGGTACCAAACGAATTTCACGGTAAATGTTCAAGTTGGAGCTGGTTGAACAAACCTAGGCCTGTTTGTGACTTTCTGAACGCATTTTAACTGTAGAGACAACGTAATCACTTAACTAGCTTGTAAAGGGACTGTTTTACCATTTATCAAGGCGCTTTGAGGTCCCAAGCAAAGCCCTGGTCACGGTCATGTGCAGAATGTGATACTTAGCACCCCTTGACGCTGGTTGGTGATCAATGCCCAGAGGCCATCATAGCACCGATGAAAAAAAAGCAATTAAAACTGCCAGTAGCGTATCCACCGTGCAGGAAATGGTGCGAAAACTTAACGCGTCTTGGGCGCGTCTCATCATCATGGCCATTCGTCTGCGATCGACTGATTACCTCAACGGCTATTCCACACAAAAAGGCATCCGGTAAACTCGGTAGCATTTTGAAGGTGTTCCAAAGTAACTCTATCACATGCGCCGGACGGCTTGTAAACTTCGACGCCATGGAAACCGCGCCGACACACGACCTCCCCGACGCAGTAGCGCCTCGGGCAGCTCAAATCACCACGCCCGTCGTGAACTCTACCCATCTGTCCCGTCGGCACGACGATAGGGTGTCTGAGGGCACCGTATATGAGGGCGGTGTCACACCCGGTGATCAGCTGCTGGCAGAGAGCCAAGACAGAGGCAATCCAGTGTCACTCAGCAACATTCTGAATCCATCAACCAATAACCTCTCTAAAAACAAAACCGCTGACGACATGCACGCTGCGGAGAGCGAAAGCGTCTGTAGTGACCTGAGCACCGATGCATATCGAAAAAATCTCACCAAAGACGTCGACGATGCTCTCAACTTGATCCGATCAACCGGGTCCTTTGCAGCATTCACCCCTGTCTGGTTTGGAGAGCAGCCGAGAATCGCCGTTGACGGTGTCGGTGATATCAGCATCCCTCTCCAGGAGGACCAAGCCCGGCAGCTTATCAATAAGGCCCGTCAGGCGCCTTTCGGGAAAGGCAGTGATACCGTTGTGGATACTTCGATTCGCAATACGTGGGAACTCGATGCCTCCCAAGTTCAGTTTTCTGATCCAGGGGACATGGCTCGAAAGATTCAAGGTCTTTGCAAAGTCGTCGCTGACCAGATGGGCATCACTTCACCTGTGTCAGCAGAGTTTTACAAGACGCTCATCTACGAGAAAGGCGCCATGTTCAAGGCCCACACGGATACTGAGAAGATCCCAGGCATGTTCGGCACAATGATACTTTGCCTGCCTTCACCTCATGAGGGCGGAGATCTGGTCGTCAAGCACCGCGGAGCGCGCAAGGTATTCAAGACATCCG